CCCGCTGATAAAGCCGACCTGCCACGGCAGCCTGCTCTACAACCAATCCCCTCCCCTGGGAGAACAGCCAGCCCCAGGAGCAGCCTCCCTCTCTGCGGGGGGAACAGATGCCTTCTCCAAGGCCAGGGCCACCTCCTGCTCCACCTTCACCAGCCCAGCTCCCCGCTGCAATGGCCAATGACCACCAGGGGCAGGGGAGCAGCTACTGCGGCGAGACCTGAGCAGGACCCGCAGTGTTCACAACTTCAGCTCTGCCTCCACAGCTGCTAAGGTTCTCCCCCCTGCCAACTTCTCATTCACTGAAACTAGTATTAATATTACTCTAGCAAAATGGGGGATGTAAAAGAAGCTGTTGGCTTCATACAGGATTGGTTGTAATTCCGTGGTCTGAGCTATGCAGGGACGTCATACACAGACCATAACGGTCTATTTCTGCCCCAGATGCTATGAAAATACAAAATATACTGAAATTACATAGGATATGGCCTATTAACAAGATGCACAAAAACATTATCACCTCTTTGGAAGAACAGACTACCCTGCCTTTCTTGTACAGATCATCAAATCTCAAAGTGATAGAAAAAGATATTGGAGCTATTCTACTAGGAATTTCAATCAGAAAATAATTTCAGATGCAGATGTTGATGACTAAACGTCATCCAATCCTGATACATGATGATAAAAGGAACTGGCAACCACACCAGTAAGATTTTAGCACACAGGGAACAAAACAGAGCCCTGCTGAAAGTGGTGAAAGGGTTTCTTTACCTCTTTCATATTATTTCCAAGAGATGACAAGTATAACTACAAGGATACATACCCTTTATTTCTGCATGTACTAATTTTGAACATCAGTCTGTGATAAATGGATAAATACTGAAAATCAGTATAATATTGAAAATAATACTGAAAATATTGTTAAGGTTTCAGAAATATTTTAAATTAATATTAATGGAAGATTTTTAATCCTTTCAGATAGACAACTTTAGGGAAAAAAAGGTCTCATGACGTTCCTGCTCTGAGACTCAAACTTTCTAGCCAGTGTAGTACCGTGAGCAAGAGTCCCAGCTTGCTAACATGAGGTCAGTAGGTGCAAAGACAACAAAAACCTGAGGAATTGAAACATAAGAAACAAAGAAAACTTCTTATGAGAGGGTAAGCAGTGCTACAAATAGAGCTTTACTCAAACAGGAAGGCGACCTCGAAGGACTCCAGTTCATGCGTGCCAGGGTGTGCAGACAAGAACAGTGAGGAACAACATACATTCTTAATTTCAGGAGGGACAAAGAACAACTGGAGAGACAACAAAAAATTCAATTTCTACATACTAGAAAGCTGTCTTTGGGTACATAACCTAAAATGCTTGTTGGCAGATAATGGAGCCATATTTACTCTGGACTATGTCTAACCAACACTGAGATTACTTTTATTAGCTGAGCGTGGGCAGACGGGTCAAATATTTTTTTCCAAATCAGCATCCAGTCTGTAGTGAACTGCTAACATCAGTTAAGGATAACTGGCAACACACATAGTATTACAGAGCAATCGAGGCGTAGATCTGGTCATGTTTTGGTATCGAACACCTCTTACCATTACTGATGATCCTCTCTGATGTCCTGCGGGAGGCACAAACCCCCTTTGCACACAAGAAAGCAGAACATTTCTATGCTTGGTTTGTACAAACTTAATTACAGCTACTTGGTTGCAATTTACTTATGAGAAAATTTCAGACTGAGTCCTAAACAAAATCTGAGATCATCACACGCTCTTTATTTCATCGCCAGCTTGATGCCAGGGCCAGAGACCAATGCAGAAATGCCTATGAAGATTTAAGCTGCAAGTCCGCCTCTGTCCTGGGGGCTCAGCTGGGGGAGCAGAGGCTCACCCACACCCTTCACTCCCATCAGGGGAAAATCAGGCAGTTTAGCATGTGAGAACTGGTGATTTAGTCCATTCTGCCTATGGAGGTTTAGGGCGGGGAAATATAGTGGATATAGCCGTCTCCGTAAGATCATTTGAGGGAAAAATAAAATAAATTAAAAAAAAAAAAAAAAAAAAAAAAAAGCAAATGACAAAAAGCAGAAGAGCATCATGTTTGCCTAAGGGGAAAAAAAAAAAAAAAAAAACAAAAACATAGAGCCTAAAAAATCTCTATGAACAGTCTTAATGGACTGACAAAATGTACCCGCAGAAAATGTCAACAGTGGGTCATATCACACTTCATACACAGAGAGCTGCCGACAGAGAAACTTCTGAAGCAACTAACTGCACAAAAGGTTACAGAGCAGATTATAAAACAGTGACAACAATCTGATACCAACTTAATGTGGGTATCAAATTGATTTATAGAGTTCAAATGAGACTTAACACCAACACAACCAGCACTTCATAATAGAGGCAAAGATTTATATGGAAAGAGCAGCTCTGAAGTTACATATACTTGAAATATAAAATATTAAACTAACTTTGTTTCCCTGGAAGAACCAAAGAGCAAGAAGCCTGAAGAAAAGAAGTAAATGAATCCTGCTATAAGAACCAAAATAGAGGACAAACTTAAAAGAAGTGCGAATTGAATTCAGCTACGGACTTCCATGAGTTGGCAACACGAAGCCAGAAAAATCTAACAACTAAAATAAATTCTGAGAGCAAACAGCAGGAGCAGATAGATCAGAAACGAAACCACATGATTCCCATGTAATCTCAGAATCCGTTAATTGAATTTCTCTGGGTTTTCATTGCTGGAAGCAAACTTAAGAGCAGTGTAGAAAAATTTTGGTTCATATTACAGGGAAAGAACTAAATATTGAGAAATAATAGGTTCTGACAAATACAAATATATGGCATTTGTCTGAAAATGTGCAATACTGACAAAATTGCTAAAATTAGCCACAAAAAACCTGCACTCAAACTATGAAAAACAAAAATGCCAAGCATTCCTAATTATAAAATCAAAATTCCTACGATATTAAGGAATAAGAAAAGTATAAAGATATTAACAAGTTTGGTTTATGAAACCTTGGTTTCAACATGAGATTATTGCACAGAAGTGCAAGTTAAAAAGTATTAAATCACATTTTAATTGCATCCTCTTTCCCACTACGGGTTTTCTCTCTCTTTTTAAATATTTTTACCAACAGTAAAATTTTCATAGGTGCACAAGTGACATATACTCTTGAAACTGTGGCTCAAGTCATCTATGCCTGTTTGCATCCCAGGCCTTCAAACAAACTTGCCTATTCCTTTACTGTTTCTCATTTCTCCACTGCTTAAAATGTGCTACTACTTTCTCATATATGTAGGCTGGGCACATTTTAAGCATGTGCATGCACATAGATAGACACATAAATATACAGACACACACCCATCTATATATACATATACAAATACTAAATTTCTCAAAACAATTCCTTAGTATTTGAATTTCAAAGATTTCTTAATACAAACATGCAGACTCTTTTTTAGAATTTCATCTGCACAAGACTTCCAACAGCATCTCTTTTGAAGTAGATGAAATGCATCAAAGTCAATTCCACACACGCACACATTCATCAAATATCAAAGTAATCACCCATTCTTTTTCATTTGGCTCCTGCAAATATCAATAACTCTAAGACAAATATACTACATAAAGCATATTGTATGTTCTGTACCACAGTAAAACCAGAAAATAGACTCCAGATGTTTCCTCAAATCCTGCCAAAAACAAAATTTGAAAAAGCATTGAAAACCAAGCAATGTTGAAAGCCCTAACTTAAAACATGTAGGAAGAAGCAGCATAAGGAATCTATAGCTTTGTCAGGAGTAAATTTGTTCTGTCTTCACCTACTAGATAAGAAGGGTCAATCCTGAATAACTGTAAATACAGCAACTATGAAGAATAAAAATTCTCATTTTCTGCCTGTTTATTACTTCTTTAAAATGGCCTTCCACAGATTTGAGATTGAGAGAAAATTTTCAACAGCTTTCACTCATTTAGAAGACTAGATTCCTTTGGGAGCCAATTAGACTTAGCTTTTAGCTACACTAAAAGTAATATTGAAAATGGGACTTGGCACCTCATTTTCCTAATTCATAATTTTCTCATGTTAGTTAGCACCACAAAGTCAAAACAAACTAATTGATATCACATGAGTCCTGTTTTGTTGAAATACAAAGTAAAGGAGGTTTGCTTAAAGAAACCTTCAGTAGGAATGACTGTTGGCTTTGCACTGCACCAGATGAACGGTGTTTTGGGCACATTGTTTCTCCTTTGAGCAGCAAAAACAACAGCTGAAGCACAGTAACTTACAAAAAGTATAGAAGTACTGTCAAAACCAATCATCTCTAGAGGTTCTCAAGGTGGGACTCACCTGGCCCAACAGCTCCTGTAAGACCTCTAAAATTGATCAAAACAAAGGAGTAGAGAAACACTTCCAGAGGCAATTCACTACAACTATCTTAGATACTCCTTTTACAATGAAAAATTCGCCTGCAGGATGTGTCCCCATCCTTGTCCCTCAGGCACAGAGAAAGGCTAGGCAACTAGTTTAGCCTTTATGGCTCTGGTGGGGACAGCAAGAAGAATACAAGTGGCAGTGCACAGTACTCACAATTGCTTGTGTCAGCAGGTAATTTTGAAAAAAAACCCAAGCAAATAAAAAAAGCCTTGGATCCATCAATAATATTATATACTTTTTCCGCACATAAAACTTATTACAGAATATTCTTTAATGCACTGCTTAATACCAACATGTATTTTCTATTTGGAAGTAATGAACAAAATAACGGAAAATTTGAAATATATGACTTTCTGATCTGTCTCTTGTCTTTCAGAAGTCTATATGACAGTCCTCAATCCAATCAAAGAACATTCGGTCCCTTACTTTATCATACACAGGCAGCCTGTTGGATCAATACACGTTATGAAAAAATGCAATTATTTACAAAAGCAGAGCTTAGACTGAACTCCTATAGTCAGGATACACTGAATCATGAAGGGGTAACACAATTAGTTATTTTACCTGCATAGCACTCTTTCCCAGCTTAACCACCTCAAACAAAGTGACAGGGTCCCCTTCTCCATTCTGCTGAGGGTGGCCATTAGCTCTTCCACGACTTGCTCCTCTAGCTCCAGATTCAGAACGACCCTTGTCTGCTGGAGACTTCCGTGGTTTCTTAGTGGCAGACTGGGCAAAGAAAACCAGTAGAATGAAAATTTATTATAGCTATACCTGAAATCACTCAATGTATCTTTATAAATTATACATTAATATTACACACACTTTTATACAGTCACACACATACATACATACAGGTATCACAGAATAAGCCAGGCTGGAAGGGATCTCAGGAGGACTCCAGCCTGACCTCCTGCTCAAACCAAGGTCAGCTATGAAATTCAACCAGGTTGCTTAGGGTGTTATCCAGTCAGGTACATGCATCTTTATCTATCAGTATTGTCAAGGAAAAACTTAAAAGCCACTATCATGTCAAGGTAAGTAGTGGTGAATTTCCAACCCTGGAGTACCAGTCCATGTCAATACCCATATTAGTGTTGTTATTATTAGTCTTATTCAACACAAACAGTTGACAACATGACTAAAACTAGATGAATGGTAGCAAATTACAGACAGGACAGCAAAAGTGGTCTATGTTGGCACACAAACTTTTAGAATAACTACAGATCTTGGTAAGACAATAAGTTATTAAAATTACACTTGTCATATTAACATAAATTTTCTGTATTTTCATTTTTATACAACTTTTATAAGAAACTCTGTACCAAAAAGAGTGAACTCTTCAACCCAAATTAAATCACTGAATTTATATAGCCAGATTTAGTAGATCATCATAATAGCCCCTTGCTTCAAAATTTTGTGAGTTAAAACATTTTCCCTATGAATCTAAATTACATAATGCAAATTTTTTCTAGGTTCTTCAAGCTTCTAATCAGGTGGTACAGACCCCAATTGTAAGAAGTCACCTAGTGAACAGTTTGCTCTGAATTTAAGTCACCTTTTGTCAAAATAAAAAAGAAATTTTCTGGGGAAAATAATGTAAGATCCCTGCTATGATCTTATTTCCATATTCTATTCTTTCTCCCTCCCGTAAGGCAGTCAAAAGCAAAAGCTGCCATTTTACACAGAACAATTAAGCTATTTTGAGGAATTATATTAAAGAAAACAACACGCAAGCAACTGAAGATTACATTCGGGACAATATCCTCACGGTACCATCTACCTGAGTTAACTGTCAGCCAGTTTCAATTAAAGCTTTTAGTAAAGAACGTGAAGTCATCGTTTTTGGTTGCCTCTTCCAATTGCAGACACCTTAAGAATTTTCCTGCAGAGGAAAGGGCTCTGATGTCTGGAAGAGAGCTGGCAGAAGACAGACCTGCAGTCTAGCTTTCGCCTTACTTTAAAAGGGATCACTGCTGGTGGGGCCAGAGAGCCAAAGAAAAGGGCAAGGTAGAGTGCAACCGCAACAGCCTCTTGCAAATATTCAATTAAGGACTTGCATACAAACATAAGCTGGAAATCTTAAAATAATGGTACAATCTCTCCGAAAAGCTTTTTGGATAACATCCGCCCTTATGATCAAAAGAATATGCATTCTCCCTCAACGAATCTTTAAACGTGCAAAGCTGCCTTTATCAGCAAGAAAGCTATCAATACATGAAATGTTTGAGCTCTACCAAGCTCCAAAGAGACACACGATCGCTATTTAATAAAATGACAAAGAATCTGAAATAAATTGAGTCTTTTAAAATATATAATCCATGTGCTTATTCAATCTGGATGACAGTAAGCCATAAGCACTTCAACTAGCTACAAGTACTGCTAAATGAAGGCAGGAATGCAAGTTGATGCCCTTCACAGAAGCTTATGCAAGCCCCCTCTATACTCAGTTTTTCTCAACACGTATTTCAAAGGGAGACACTAAACACTTCAAGGATGAAGGGAAAGCAAGTAGATGGACATGAAATGCACGCATGCAAAGATACCTTGTTACTGGAGAGCAGTGAGAAAAGCCACCTACACTGGCATGAGTACTATGGACCAGCATGCACACGATCAAAATAAGTAATCACAAGACATGTAAATGCTCAGTTTCAACTCCACTTTTGCCAGATATCCTGGGGAAAGGGGGATGCTCTGACCAAGACTCATAGTTTGAATTAGAAGGATGAGAACACCAGTGAGCTCTCAGAAGAGGCACAGAAATAACTGAGACATACACTTTTGACAGAATTACTGGACAAAGCCAGATTCTTTAAGCCCAAGTAAAAATCTCAATATCCTGGACCTGAATTAACACCAGATGTAGTACTGAGTCTACTTTCAAGTTTCCCTCTGGTATAGATTTTCTATTGACAATGAGGACATCTCTCTCAGTGGAGAAACCAAGTCTTTCATTTAACAAAAGCCATTCTGCATCCAAGCTGGGGTAGCTAAATCCAGATGCAGGATCTGTACTGAATCCTGTCTGAAGAGTCAAAACAAGCAGACAAGGATCCTCCACTGAGAAATTGTAGAAAATCCAAAACTAGAACTTCCTGAGTTAGGCAAGGATTAACATTATTTTCAGGTGGAGAGGCACTAGAAGAAGGCTGTCCACTTGCACTGCAGAGCACGTTCACCCAGCAGGCATCAATCCCACTCTGGAGTGCAAGTATGAAAGCAAGTCATGCACAGGTTCTCCAGGCAACAAAAACTACCTGGTACTCTAATTATAAAGTTTTGCAAGCACATGGCACAGAAGTGAGGTATTGGTATTACCTTAATCATTAACATACAATATTACAATGCTGTTGTCAGACATTACTTGCATGTGGTGTCCCTGAATTTACAGGAAGAAACTTTGCAGGCCATCCTGACAGATCTGAGCTTCATACAGGTTCCTACCTCTGAGTACAAAGTTGAATAGGTAACCAGGTAACCAACCCTATTTCAAGAGGAAAATTTTCATCAAAAGGAAAATTTTTCACAATGAGAACTATCAGCCATTGGAATAATCTCCACAGGGAAGTGGTGGATTCCCAGCATTGGACACTTTGAGGATTTAGCTAGACAGGATGCTAGACCATCTTATCTAGACCGCGCGTTGCCAGAAAGGTTGGACTAGATGATCCCTGAGGTCCCTTCCAACGTAGTATATGATTCTATCCCAGGATGGAGACATCCAACACCACTGAAGCAAGTGAAGGAAAAGCATGGACTGGTACATCCACAGAAATGCAAAGAGGACTCCTCCACGATACAGAATACCTGTGGAATATCTGCAGAGGCAGGGTTCTCTTGGAATTTGAATTGCAAAGCCAAGCTACAAATCTAAAAATTATGTTTGGCATTGAGGATGACAAACAGAGGTAGCACTGCATTCCAGAAGAGATATACCTGAATTCACAGGAAAGGGTGGTCTTTCAGCTCAACACAAAAAACTCCTCATCCTCTAATTCCATGAAGAGCTTCCACATCAGAGTGAATTTGTAGCAAGTCTACTCTCTTGAGGATCCACCAAATGGTCATCAAGACACAGGAAAAACAGAACCAATGCTTCCTAACAGGAACACCAGTTGTGGTTACTGTTTGCCCCTTTACACCCTTTCAGCCAGAAATTTCCTGCCTCTACCTAAAGCCCCCTTAAATTGATAGTCATGCATGAGTGGTTTTTTTTTTTTTTTTTTTTTCTTCCTTTTAAGTATCAGTCTGTTGAAAGTCCTGTGGTGGGTAAGAACTGATTGTCTTCCAGACTCAAAAGTGACTTTTCTCCTGTTTACAAGAGGGATCTCTGAAAAGTCATGGAAAAGGCAAGCTAGTTAACAACACTGTATCTACATGTATTCATAAAGCCTTGTAACCATTTCCATAATCCAGGCATCTGCTGCAATGGCAGAGCCAACACTGAGGTAAATTAGGACTACCAGAGGGAGGGATAAAGAAGCATAACAAGGTAAGAAAGCTTGAGGCTTTTTAATCACACACCAAGAAGGGTGCTGCTTGGAGCCTGTAACAGTTAAATCTGTGCTTTCACTCTGAGACCCAGGACAGACAGTCAGACTGGTGGAAGTGTCAAAATAGAATGAGTTGCTAAATGAAAACAGAAGTTATTAATGATTTTTCAGATCTGTGCAGCAGATTCAACTGATAACAAGTAAAGCTGAGGATTTATACACAACAGCATTAGGAACTTCAGAAGTTCTAGAACATGCCACGGAAGCAACTCTAAAATGGTCATATGGATGCCGACATAGTTCACGTGTTGCTTTAAGGCTTAAACTGAGGCATACAGGAAACAAAATACCTCAACTGCAATTAAACTAAAATTATGACAATTCAGAATTTTGTAACAAATTAGCTAGATAACACTTTTCCTTTCATGTCTTTAAAATGGTTGTGGAGGAAAAAAAAAAAAAAAGTGACCCACATTTGTAAAATCAAGTAATACAGTGAAAGTTAATTCACATACTACAAAAAAAAAAAGTGGAAGTGGCTTGACATTTTTCATTAACATTTCCCAAGTTGATGTGATGCACTTCACAAAGAAATAAGGACAGTCAAAGTGTTACAGGTCAGTAACTCCACCTAGCCTGCCACCTTAAATGATGGCCTCTATGTGCATTCATACCATAAGTAATTTAAAGCAATACCCCATTTCTCAAAATAGCTGAAAGAAGCTTTTTAACCTTTCACTTGAGTAGGACTCAAGAACTTGCCCCTCAAAGGCATCACCCTCTTGAAAGGCCTCTGCATTATAACCTTGTGTTAAGTGGAAGAGTGGTAATATCTGAGCTCTTTCTGAATTAATACTGATTAAAAAATGAAGGCTACCACACACTTTGTAACATTATCATGGTTATCTAGAAAGAAGTTCTTGGACTCAAACTGTCAGGCATCGGCCTTTCTTTTGTCATAGAAACAAACAAGTTGCTCCCTGTGAAAAGCCTCATCCGGCAAATAAAGACAGATGCAGGTCCCCTAATATCCAGCGCATATAGAGCTGCTTCAGCTGTAGCATATGCAGTTTAGAACAACAACAACAACAAAAAAAAACAAAACCAAAAAAAAAAAAAAAACACCAAACCAAAACACCAAAACCAGAGACAGTGTTGGGGGGTTCTGGTGGTGCTTCTTCTCCATTCTTATTTAAAAACCTAGCAAGAGTTCTGTAAGTCATCTTAAAGAATCAAGAGAGTCTGCTA